TACAGGGTCGCTATGGGTCGGAACCGACTCGACGGCACTTAACAACAACAACAACATGCTACTTAGGTTAGTAGCTGTTAAGTGCCAGCAAGTGGGTCCCAACCCATAGTGACCCTGTACAGGGTTTTCGAGGCTGCAAATCTTTACCGAAGCAGAAAGCCTCATCTTTCTCTGGAAGTAATGCTGGTAGTTTTGAACTGCTGACTGTGAGGTTAGCAGCCCGATTCTTAACCACTATGCTATTTAGGTTAAGGAGCGCTAGTAGCATAGTGGTTATGAATCGGGCTGTGAACCGCAAGGTCAGCAGTTCAAAATTACCAGCTGCTCCGCGGGAGAAGGATTCTGCTCCTGTAAAGATTTACAGCCTTGGAAACCCTGTACAGCGTCGTTTTGAGTCAGAATCGACTCCACGGCCCACAGCCAGCCAACCAAGGCTACTTAGGTTAGTAGCTGAAGGCAAAATGCTTGAACCTTTCCACCTCAGTATTGTCTGTAAGTTTTAGTTTTCTGCTTTGACATTCAAATCTGACTACATTTGCAGTTGCAAGTCCTGCAGACTGTTCTAGGCCCTGGAAAGCTGCTGTGAGTAAGACAGTAACACCAGGCAGAGACCCACACTGAGGAAGAAGACAAACAAATCCACAATATTGTCTTAAAATAAAACAAACTGAAGGGCCCTGCTCCTCCTGGTCAACAAACTGGCATTGCAACTGCCCTCAAGTGGCGCCGAATAAAGTCCTGCTTAAGCTTCCTGTCTCCCGAAAGCTTGTCTTTACTACGTCAAGAAACCCTTCCCCCAGTAGTTTCAGGTTTCAGGAAAATCTCCATAACCCCGCCCACTGGAAGCTCGCTCGCCGGAACTGTACTGGGACCACACTGCCTTAAATACCCGCGTCTGTAAGGGACTGGCAGTTTCTTGGTCTCTTTCCATGACTTTGATCTTCCCCCTCCCAGGTTTACTTTCAATAAACCTGTCTCCTAGGGAAGCCAAGTTTCCCGCCTCGTCTCCATCTTACTTCTTACGCAGACCAATGGCAGTTGAGTTGATTCCGATTCATAGTGACCGGGGTAGACTCGTCTGCACGGAGGCTAGTGGATGGATTTGAGTCTCCAACCTTGTGGTTAGCAGTGTTTACCCTACGGTGCTACAGGGCTTTTTAGAACATTGTTTTAAGCAAAGCCAAATGCCGGGGGTGGCGCAACTGTTGAACGACTAACCGAGGGGTCCGTGGTTCAAACCCCTCCACCAGCTGCTCTAGTGAAGATTTGTTGTTGTTAAGTGCGTCAAGTCGATTTCGACCCATATCGACCCTATGTAAGGTTTCCAAGGAATGACTGGTGAGCTTGAACCGCTGACCTGGCGATTCAATCGACTTTGCAGTCCTCCTAGAAATCGCTTCTACTCTGAGGAGCAGAATCTCCGTTTTGAGGCAGAATCAACTCGATGAAAGTAGTTTGTTTTTTAATACTCGGAGAGACCAAGCAAGAAGCTGGAATGCAGCCAGACAGGTGTGGGTGGGGCTGCCTCCCTGCAGAGCGCGGAGGGCGCTCTAGGCTGAGGAATTGCAAAGGTCCTGGGGCGAGTCCCTGGGATGAGGGGTGGGGGACAGGCCAGTGTGGCTGGAAGGACGAGCGAGTGAGCAGAAAAGCGAGCAGCGGGACCTCGAGCCAACCCCACCGGCTGAATTACAGCGTGGAGATGGAATGTGGTCATGAAAGCCGCTGGGACGTTCTCTTGTCGCCATGACGACCGCAGAGCCACTAGGGTGTTGAGGGACGAAGGGCGCAAGGTGAGGAAGGTCCCATGGGGGACCACTGGCAGAGTTTGGTCAGCAACAATCATGCCGCTGAGGCCGAGATGGAGGCAGACAAGGCCCCGGAAGACGATGTCCTGGACGGCGAGGAATCTGAGTTAGAGAGCCAGGGGCGAAGCCCGGAGCCCGAGACCCTGGTGGCAGACAATGCCACTCGGCAGCTGGAGGACGTCGAGGAGGAGCCCCCCGTGGAGGAGATCTCGGTCGAGGAGGACACCCTGGACGCTGCGGACCCTGGGGAGGCCCTTTCCCAGCTGGAGCACGTCCTGGAGAAGGATTTAAAGGAGGACATTCCGGAAGTGAGGTAGGCCAGGCAGGGGCAGACGGGCAGTGGGGGCAATGACAAAGTAGGGGGGCAATGAGGGACCGAGGAAGGAGAGTGGAGGGACGAGCAGTGAAAGAATGGGGCACTGGGGATGGGGCAGGGGGATATTGGGGAGATGAAGGATTGGGGGGACAGGGCAGTGGACGCAGTAGAAGGCAAGGCAGATGGGGCATCAGTTCCATGCCCACCACAACCAGACTGCGCCCCTTGGCTGCCTGGAGGAGACAGACCCAGCTGCCTCCTAGGACTGAGTTGGTTCGGCAAAGCGAAAGCTCCCACTGGCCTTTGAGGCAGAAGTGTAGGAACCAAGGGCACCCCTTCAGAAGGTAGACTTCCAATGCCAGAGGGGAGAGTTACATCTGGAGGGGCCTAGCTCAGTTTCCCCTATATGCCCAGTAGACAGTAGGAACTTGATCAATATTTGTGAGATGGTGAGAATTCTCTTATTCAATCATCACCACACTGCTGGGAAGTAGGAACTAGTCATGTGTCCACTTCAGAGAGGAGGAGGCTGAGCCAGGTCCTCAGGACCCCAAAATCCCGCCCCAAACAGACATCTTCATAGGCAGGGGGACTCCTGTGTATGGAGTAAGAACAGATTCAGGGTCAACATGTCAAGGCGGAAATGCTTCTGCAACGCTGACCTGGATTTCCCCAAAGTCGACTGTCCATCAGTGACAAGTGGCCAGAGCCCAGAGGGAGGAAGAAGAAGAGGAGGATTTTCGATTTGGCAAGACCCAAAACCAACTGGCAAACCTTGAAAGACAGGTGAGGGTCTGAGGGAACAGAAGGGGTCCCCTACACCCCCTACTCTTGACAAAATGAGGGTAGGTGGGGCCCAGGCAGGTAAGAAGGATGTGAGAAAGGGTGAGTAATCGGGATGCTAGAGGTGGGCCTTCAGGAGAATCGGGAGTGTGGGTGCAGGTAGAGCCCTGAGCAGAGGGCAGTGGGAGATGGACCTTATCATCACAGAGTGGGCTGTTGCCAGGGGTCTTTCCCTGAAAGACCACCTTGCACTTCTCCCTCTTCTGGTAAGTGTTGGTCCTCCCCATCCCCACCCACCCACGCTGTGGAGAGGAGTCCCAGCTTTCTGGAGTCCTTCTTCCTTCCCAGAACAAGGATGGAGGCTTGTTTTCTCCACGTTGGCCAGTGTGCATGGTACATCCCCGCTCTCAGCTATGCCTTTGCCCCCGCACAAGGGCTGTGCTGGCAAAACCGTGCATCCTATGGTTCTAAGATCCTCTTCCCAGTCCTCTCTGGCCTGCTGTCAAGCTGCCCCCGTCCCTGGGCCCTCTGCCCACATTGTCCCCTCACTGACTGGGTGCGGGGTGCCCCTGAGCCCCTGTTTCAGAGTAGGTCACCTTCCCACTGAGCCCTGCCTGCTGTCTTCCAGGCCATCCGTATACTGGACCGAGAGGTTTCTGGAGGACACTACCCTGTCTGTCACCGTGCCGGGTAAAGAGTGATACCCAGTGCCAGCCATCGCCTTGTAGGGAGGGACCTCCCTCCCCTACCCGGGCCCAGCCTGGGCTTCTGGGACCTCTGTCTGGGGTCTTCACTTATCCACCTCTAGGAGTCTCTGCTCCCCATCTCTTGAAGGTCTCTGTCCCCCATGTCCCAGGGGTGTTTGTCCTCCCATCTCCCAGGGGTCTGTGCCTCCATTTACAAGGTTTTCGTCTCATGCCCTGCCAGGTGTAGGCTGGTCCTGGGGGTAAGGGTCATTATTAGGGAAGTTCTTGTTTGTGCTATATTTGAAGTGGGGTCAGTATTTACAAAAAGCCCTGTGGCTGGTTCCCATGTTTTACATCATTGGCTCCCTTTCTTCAAATCAAGCGCTTAGAGGAAGTTCATCTTCATCGTAGAGAGAAATAGCAGGGAACCCCAACCACCTAGGCCTCCGCTAACTGTCCATCAAAGCCCACTCTCCCACCCTGGGCCTTGGGTCCCATTCCAGACCTGCCACTCCTAATCTGGTGACCCTCAGTTTGGGCTGCAGCTTGCAGAGTAGAAGGTTAACTTGAGACTCACTAGCTCTGCGGTGATTTGGGTTATCTCTCGTCTTGCATAGATGTGTCCCACCGAGTGGAGGAACTGGCTCGACCTAAAAGATTCTACTTGGAGTATTACAACAACAACAGGTACTGAAGACAGTCCACAGCTACGGAAGCCGGATGCTCTGAATTTACACTGGTGTCCACCGCTGTCCCTGACCTCAGTTCTCTACCTGCACTTGTATTTTTGTTTTTAGGGGCTGCCAGGTTGCTTCTGATTCATGTTGTTGTTGTTAAGTGCCATCGAGTCGGTTCCGACCCATAACAACCCTGTACAGGGTTTCCAAGGAGCAGCTGGTGAGCTTGAACTGCTGACTTTGCAGTGCAGCGCATTAACCCACAGCGCCACACCAGGAGTCCCGACTCGGGGCAGAACAGAGCACTGCCTGGTTCTGCACCATCTTCACAATTGTTCAGTTTGAGCCATTCTGTCAATTTGTCTCGTTGAAGTTCTTCCTCTTTCTCACTTTCCCAAGCATGATGTCTTTCTCCAGGGACTGATCCCTCCGGATGACCAGTCCAAAGTTTGAGAGATGAAGTCTGGCCATCCTGGCTTCTAAGGAGCACTCTGGATGGATTTCTTCCTACACAGATGGGTTTGTCAACACCACGATTCAAACACATCCATTCTTCTGTGAGCTTCTTAATTCATTGCTCAGCTTTCACAGGCATCTGAGGTGATTGAAAAGTCCATGGCGTAGCTTTGTCCTCAACGTGACATCTTTGCCCTTGAACACTGGCACAAGCCTAGTGTCAAATGGCAGTATAGTACGAGTAGGTTCAGAACCTGTGAATCGGGATTCACAAGGGGAATCATGGAAATTACCACTAGCCCAAAGCTGATTCCTATGAGGTGGTCAGCCAGGCTTCTCCTCTTCAACCTTTACCAATTCTAACGTCAGCCATTCCTCCCATGACACTTGACTTCTTGTCTAGTAAGATCATCTGTTGCAATGGCCGCATAGAACTCACACCATACTTCCAGTTATGGGCTTTATTGAAGGACTGGGAACAAACTGAGATCAGGAAGCATGTGGGTCAAGTCTTCCTTCTCTAGTGCAGAACACTCCCTCAACTCCTCAGGAACCACACAGGCCTCCACTAAACCCCCTCAGGACAGGCTCCCGTCAGCCCCACAGGACCGGATCCCCTCAGCCCCCTCAGGACAGACGCCAATCAGCCCTTCAGGACAGATGCCCATCAGCCCCCTCAGGACAGGGCTCCTCTTGACCCTGCCGTGTGTCACTGCCAGAGCTGCTGATGTCTCTTTGTGGTGCTGTGGGTTAATGCGTCAGACTACAATTCATTTGAACTGCAAGGTCAGTGGTTCAAGCTCACCAGCTGCTCCTTGGAAACCCTATACAGGGTCGCTATGGGTCAGAATCAACTCGAAGGTAATAACAACAACTCCATCTTCACTGCTTTCTCTCTTGATATAACTTTTAGGTGGTTTCTTGCCACCTTTTCTTCTATGCTTTCCTTTTTCTGCCTCCTGCTTCTTTTTGTTTTAAACCTCTGTGGAGCTAACTGCTTATGACTACAACCCCTAATCAACTTGAATGGCTCTTCCCAGCAGGGCTGCTAACCGACCAATCCCGGCTTTGTTGGCTACAGACATTTCATTTGCATAGTAGGTTATAGCCACATTTGCATAATCTATTGACCAACCCAGCAGATGCATGCAAATCCTAGGGAAGCTGAAGCCCAGCACCAGACAAGAAGGACAGTCCAGGCACACCTTGCAGATATGTGGGTTCGGTTCCAGACCACTACAATAAAGCAAATAGCGCATTCAAGCGAGGCACGTGAATTTTTTTCCCCCAATGCACATAAAGTTAGATTTTCACCATACTGTAATCTATTAAAAGAGCTTTAGTGGCACCGTGGGCAAGTGCTGGATGCTCACTGAAAGCTCGGCAATTCAAACCCACCCATCATTCAGTAGATGAAAGATGACACTGTGTGCCCCGTAAAGATTTATGGTCTAGGAACTCTTCTATATGGTCTCCATGAATCGAAATTGACTCGATGACAGTGAACCTTTGATGTTTGGTGACCACTATCACAGCAGTGTTTTGTTGACACTAAGATGGAACACATAGAAATCAAATTGACTACATCTGTGGAAAGAGACAATGGAAAAGCTCCATATCATCAGTGAAAACAAGGTCAGAGGCAGATTGTGGAACAGACCATCGGATACTCATATGCAAATTCAAACTGAAGCTGAAGAAAATGAAAATAAATCCACGAGAGCCAAAATATGACCTTGAATATATCCTACCTGAATTTAGAGATCATCTGAAGAGCAGGTTTGATACATTAAACACTAAAGACCGAAGACCAGAAGAGTTGTGGGATGACATCAAGAACATGCTACGTGAAGAGAGCAAAAAGTTATTAAGACAAGAAAGAAGGAAAAGGTCAAATTGGATGTCAGAAGAGACACTGAAACTTGCTCTCAAGTGTAGAGATGCTATAAAGCAAATGGAAGAAATGAGGCAGTCCAAGAGCTGAACAGAAAATTTCAAAGATCAGCTTGAGAAGATAAAACCAAATATTACAACAAAATGTGCAAAGATCTGGAATCAGAAAACCAAAAAGGATGAACACGGTCAGCATTTCTCAAGCTGGGGAAACTGAAGAAAAAATTCAATCCTCAACTTTCATTATTGAATGATTCTCTGGGCAAATTATTGAATAATGCAGAAAGCATCAAGAGAAAATGGAAGGAATACAGAGTTACTTACTGTACCAAAAGGAAATGGTTGATGTTCAACTGTTTCAAGAGGTAGCATATGATCAAGAGCCAATGATACTGAGGGAGGAAGTCCAAGGTGCAGTGAAGGAATTGGCAAAGAACAAGGCTTCAGGAATTGAAGGAGTAAAAATTGAAATCTTTCAAGAAAGTGAGGTGGCACAGGAGACACTCACTCATCTCTGCCAAGAAATTTGAAAGACAACTATCTGGCCGACTGATTGAAAGAGATCCGTATTTGTGCCCATTCCAAAGAGAGGTGATATTCCATGCGAGTAAAGTTTTACTAAAGGTAATACAGAAACGGCTACTAGCATCCATTGACAGAGAACTTCCAGAGGTTCAAGTCGGATTCAGAAGAGCTGTGGATCAAGGGATATCATTGCTGATGTCCGATGGATTTTGGCTGAAAAGCAGAGAATAT